ACTTTCCAAGTTCTGATGTTGTGTGTGAGTTGTGTGCTTTCAAGTCATTTCCAACTTTGGTGAACCTATAGTGACTCTATCATGGGGTTTTCTTGGCATGATTTGTTCAGAGGAGGTTTGTTATTGCCTTCCCCTGAGGCTGAGAGTGTGTGACTTGCCCAAGGTCATTCAGTGGGTTTTGATGGCCAAGCTGGGATTTCAACCCTGATCTCTAGAGTCACAGTCCAGTGCCTAAACTACTACACCATTCTGGTTCTCTAGTTACTCTAATATTGGAAGTAAAATTTAACTGTCATGATTAGTAGCCACTGAAAGCCTTATTCTCCTGAAATTTATCTAATCCCCTTGGGGTTGCTATTTGTAAATAGAACTATCTCATATGGCAATTGAAAACAAAGACTAGCAGTAGTGAACAGGAATTCATTAACAAATCTGCCTGAGTTATTCGTTATTTCATGAAAGGCTTATGGGTGATTCACAATAAAAGGTCAATTGTTTCCCATTTCATTATACAGTAAATCCAATTTTTAGAGTTCCAATAGAAGTTTAGTGTTGTTTATGTTTAATGCTGCAGCAGACATTAATGTTATATAACACAGAAGAATGTTTTTCAGCTATCCTTTGCTTCTCACCATGTTAAAGCTGTATATATGATTTTATACTGGTTTAACAGTAAATAGTAAAATATAATAAATTATATTAAGAGAAATATAATAAATAGCAAAACAGTAAAAGCATCACTGTACCTTAGATCAAATATAAAACAGAATGAAGACTGCAGTGAGGAAATCAGAAGAAGACTAGAAATGAGAAGGGCAACCATGAAAGAGTTAGAAAATATCCAAAAGAGTAAAGATATACAATTGAGCACTAAGATTAGCATCACCCAAGCCATTATATTCCCCATCACCATGTATGGATGTGAGAGCTGGACAGTGAAGAAAGCAGATAAGAAGAAAATTATTTAAATTCCTTTTAAATGTGGTGCTGGAGAAGAGTGCTGAGGATACCGTGGATGACCAAAAAAGACAAAGAAATGGGTCCTTGAACAGATCAAGCCTAGGAGCCAAGTTGACCAAACTGAGGCTGTTGTACTTCAGCCACATCATGAGAAGACACAACTCGTTAGAAAAGACAATAATGCTAGGAAAGGTGGAGGGCAGCAGAAAGAGAGGAAAACCACAAGCTAAATGGATAGACTCAGTTACGGAGGTCACAAGTACATGACGTAAACCAGGGGTAGGCAACCTTTTTGAGCCGGGGGCCGGTCCTGCGAAGTCCTCCCCTCCGCTGGGCCGAGGGGGGAGATGGTGGCGCACGCACGCATGCATGCACCCCCACCACCGCACGTACACCCCCGTGCAGCACCGTCGCCTCCGCAATGCGTTTGCGCATGCGCAGGAGTACTGCGTATGCGCAAATGTGTCACAGCTGCCATTTTGGAAATCAACAAAGTAGTTTAACAACAAAGTAGTTTAACTTCCACAGCCAGCTCCCAAAAGATTCTGGACATTCTTTCTTAGGGCAAAATCTGAAACAGCTGAGAATCCTTCATTGGAGACCCAGAGGCTTGTAGCTGTTTCCGACAACTACAACACTCAGCGATCCAGTACCTTTGAGATGAAGGACATGACAACTATTCCACTTCTGATCTATACTGTAGAAATACTGTAGCTTTCCAGTATAGCTCAGTCATGTGAGCCCTCTCACCTATTCAGTCCACTCCATGCAAGCAATGAACCAGAGTAGCAATCAGTGAAAGTTTATGCCAAATCTACTCAGATGTCTCCTAGGAAGCTGGCTTGTTCTTATCCCATTTTCCCCTAAATGAGAAACACACAGGATGACATCACACTGTCGACGGTAACCACAAAATTGATGGCTGGTGTTAATTTCCAGGCTGTGGAAGCTTTGGGTCTCTAAATGTTTTGGAATTCAACTTTGGCCATCATAGCTAAAGGTAGAGGATTGTGGAAGTTGCAATCCAAAGTATGTGGAAGGCTAAAGATCCCCCCCCCCCAGATTACTTGCATTTTCCCTACAGCAAATGCACAAAAACACCTGTGCCTACTTGTATTTCATTTCTTTTTTAATGCAAAATCTTATGTGGATTTTACCAGGTTCTTCCTCAAGAATTGTACAACCAATGAAGGTATATTGCCATAAGATGCTGTGACGGCTACTTAGCGATTAAAAAAGAAAGAGATAAGTCAAGCCATCCAGATCTGTTGGACTACAACCTCCATCAGACTCAGATTTGTAGCACAACAAAGGACAAGGTTGAGGCTGAGCTAGCCAGATTTACTGAAGGACAGTCTCCTAGAGATTATTTGCCATGAGGACTGAAAATGTGCAGAGGGGACATACTTTTGATTATCAGTCACAGAAGCAAATACAAGCAACCACTCAGGCACAAGAGGTGGCAATGGGGTTGTCTCCATTATGCCCAGGTTGAGAACTTCCCTGAGCCATCTGGATGACCAGCATCAGAGACAGACTGCTAAATTAGTCTTGCAGTTTGAAATGTTTGCAGCAATTCTTCTTATTTTGACCAGGATATACAAAAACATGCGAGCCAGTGTGGTATAACGGTTTGAGTTTTGGACTATGACCCTGGACACAGGGATTCAAATTGCAGCTTGGAATCCCATTGGGTGACCTTGGACAAATCACTCTCTCAGCCAACAAATCCCCTCTGAAGAAATTTGCCAAGAAAGCTCTGTCATAGGGTCACCTTAGGGTCACCAGAGGGTCATGCAGAGGCAACATGGCCTAGTGGTTTGAGTGCTGGACTATGACTCTGGAGACCAGGGTTTGAATCTTAGCCTGACCATGGAAACCCACTGGGTGACCTTGGGCCAGTCACACCCTCAGAGCTTCAGAGGCTGGCCAAGGAAACTCCATAATAGGGTCGCCATACATCAGAAGTGTCTTGAAGGCACACAACAACTGCAACAACAAGGGTCACCATAACTCTGAAATGACTTGAAGGCAAACAACAACTATTCAAAAACATGGCAGATGCTCCAGCTGCAGGAAGGGATGGGCGTCAATTCACTCTGCCTAGAAAAGATTTGCCTGTACTTTCTGGAAGCCAAACTTTGCTGCCATAGAGACCACCTGGGCATGGAGAGAGATCAAGAGAGGCACCTGGCGGGGTTATTAGTAAACTTGGAGTTCATCCTTCTGCAGGGACTGGCTCATAATTACACTCATTTTCTAGCTGTGCTGAGGAGTCTTTCATCAGGGCCTGCCAGGCGCTCTCTCTCCCTCTTTCTCAGTCCTGCCCTCATCAGTCACTAGAAGGGCTCTTTAAAGAGACAGCAGCTCCTCCACCATCAGCCCTCTCCCTCTCCAGTTCTTCTTCTTCTTCTTTTTTGAACAGATGTACTTTAATTGGGAAGACATATTCAAACCTCTCAGCTCACAGGAGGCAAGGATTGCTGCTTGCCACAAATTGTTTGCTTGCTTCTGCAGCTATGTTGCCCACCAGCAGGAAGATAAAGGGTCCAATTCAGCAGGACATTTTCCTGTACGAGCCTCATTGAAATAAATGGGAACAGCCCTGGCTCTTTCTGACATTTAATAGAAAGGATGGGTCCAAAAAGGTCCAACGTAGCTCTGATCATTTTCTCATAAATCGTTTAGCCCATATTCTATATTGCCCTCTTACCATGCTTCCATACTCTGGAAGGACTGCAGGTCACCTTGGTTTTCCCTGGCTTCCACTGAGTTCAGTGGCCTCTATCACGGGGCAAAGGAGGATGATTAGGAAGATCAAGTCTTTGCCCATCAAGTCTTGTTAATGTTTAGTGGTATTTAGCCCATTACAGCATGAGTAGAGAACATCTGGCCCTCCAGATGTTTTATCTGCAATCCCCAGAAGACCCAAATGGCATGACCAGTGGTATAGGTACTGTACATCTGGGGAGGAAGCATATTACCCCAACCCTGCTTTCAAAGCACTGCACATGATTTAAAAAGATGTTAAGTCTGTTTTCCACATCATACCACATGCTCAGAACCAAATCACTGCCACCAAACATTTTAGATTCCCTGTAGTATATAGAAGAAGGTTCCCCCACCACTTCTCTACAGAATCCAAAGGAGTTATGAGACTCATCATAAAATTCACTGCTGCCATTTGGTGGGAGCAGAGACTCGTGGTTTTCATCCAGTTGCTCCAATCCAGAGAAGGATGTGTGGAATGCTGTACTGGGTCTGAGCTGAATCACACACTGGGCTCAAGCTCAGAGTACTTGGGGGCCCCAGTGCAATAAGGCTGGCTGATCCATATGCCTTACTCCCATTTTTAAATAGCATCTAAACCCACAAAACTATTTCCAGTTACAGATCAAATCAAATCTTCTAAGTCAGGGGTAGGCAACCTTTTTGAGCCAGGGGCCGGGTTGCTGTCCCTCAGACAATTGGGGGGCCGAAGCACCCTAAATAAATAAATAAATACATAAAAATAAAAATTTTTTAAAAATTTTAAAAATTAAAAATATATGCATGCACACTCTGTCAGCCTCAGAAAAGCCATGGCAAAACCCCTGTGGAGATTTTGCCAAGAAAACTCCAAGAACAAGTAATAACAACAATAATCAATATCATTATGGTGGGCGGCGGCGGCGGCGGCAAGACCAGCCTGGGGCCGGTCCAAAGGCCTCATGGGGCCGCATCCGGCCCCCGGGCCTTAGGTTGCCTACCCCTGTTCTAAGTGATTGCATGGACTTGGGCAAAGCAGTTGTCATTCCCATTCTTCAGTCTGCAGTGCTGCACCACAGTTGGTCCAGATTTCTGTAAAAGAGTTGCAATGCAATACAGCTTCAGAAGTACTCTGCAAATTCATGTTACCATATGACTAATTAGCTTTTGCAAACTAGCAAGCTGACTCCATCCAAGCAACAATTTCGGAAAAGAACCCTATGCAGGCCTATTCACCTTCTGCCAATATCAGTAAGACCACTAAAATCTTAAAAGAGTATTTAAAGTAGCAAGGCAGCATGGCATAGTGGGTTGAGTGTTGGACTACAACTCTGGAATCCAGGGTTTGATTCTCTGGTTGGCCATGAAACCACTGGGTGACCTTGGGCAAGTCACACTCTCTCAGCCTCAGAGGAATGCAATGGCAAACAAATCTTGCCAAGAAAACCCCAAAATAATTTCTAAATTACATCTCTCCTAGAATCCATTACCCCGTTCTTCACTACTTTCTCTAGAAGTCCTTTTCGATTCCCCACTCAGCCATGAAACCCACTGGGTGACCTTGGGCAAGTCACACTCTCTTAGCCTTGGGGGAAGGCAATGGCAAACATCCTCTGAATCTTGCCAAGAAAACCTCAGGATAGGTTCACCTTAGGGTCGCCGTAAGTTAGAAACAACTATTAAACTACAATTAACAGCAATTTAAGGTAGGCTTCCCCAATACAACCACCAGGTACATCATGCTCTCCTGAACTTATCAGTGGCTGACTGTCTCCTCTTCTACCCTATCTCATGTCAGAACAACTTGCCTGCCTTAAAAGGTTGGGAATTAGATGTGATGGGTTATACAGTAGTAGCAGCATTGTTAAGACTTGTCTTAAAATTCCGTTTGAACTTTGAAACTATAGTTTTATTAGACAAATGTAATGTTTGCTGGTCAGTGCTGACAATGAATATCACTTGTCTGGATCTATAGTTTCTTATGTAAAGATTTTCTGAATTTTAACTATTGAAAACTAATTTCTGAACTTGGTATCCTGCTGGACTTCAAACACCACAATTTCCATTTAGTGTTTCATTTTCAAAGAGGTGTTTGTTTTGCAGGTTTTTAGTGATTTAGTTTTAAAACAAGATGCTTGAGGAATGCACACCTTATTTTTAAGCTGAATTGCACCTTATTTTGGGGAGAAACCATTTTTTTCCTCCACTGCAGCAAAAGCAGCAGCAGGGGGGCAAAAATCAGGCAAGATCTTCAAATGCTTGTAATGTATGTGGCTCACCCCTATTCTCAATATTTTGGCTTCCAGTTCCCATCATCCCAAACCAGATCAGCCAGTGGACAGAGATGGGGGGAGCTATAGGATAAAACTAGAGGAACCTATTTCTGGGAAGTTGGGGGTAAAGACTCCCATGCGCTGCATAATTAGCTTAGCAATTCTTGCAGGAACCTGACAAGAAAGGAGTGTTGTTAGCCTCACAGTGTAGAGATGCTCCTTAGGCTAGCCACAAGGTCCTTTGAAATAATAGGATCTCCCCCCACCCCATGTGATCCAGCACCAGCCTTTGGATATTTCATTGTACTTTGGTCATTGTACAAATATTAAGTTACTGTGAAAGTCTCCTCTCTGCCCCCCCCCTTTCCCTATGTAAGATAGGCTTCTCAGGAAAGGTAATGAAGAATGAATGCCAGGAAGATCTGAACTGTTATATCCTAACTTGAGGAGCCAGTGTGGTGTAGTGGTTTGTGTTGGACTAGATCTCAGGAAAACCAAATCCCTGCATGTCACACACTCTCAGCCTCATAGGAAAGAAACAGCAAACCTCCTCTGAATATCTTTCCAAGAAAACTTTTCACTAATGTCACCGTAGGTTGGCATTGACTTATAACTTAGATTCAGCTCAAGGAGTTTGTTATCTATCTACTACAGAGGTGAATACCTGTACAGTCAGCCCTCCATATCCATGGATTCAAGCAGCCATGGCTGGAAGATATTTTTTTAAATATAAATTCCAAAAAGTAAACCTTGCTTTTACCATTTTATATAAGGAACAATTTTAGTATGACATTGCGTATAATGGGATGAACCTCCACAGATTCTGATATCCATGGGGAGGTCCTGGAACCAAATCCCAGCAGATTCCAATGGCCACTATATACAGCTCCCAATAGCCTTAACCAAGATAGTCGAAGGAGAGGGATTGGGAGAGTTGCCAACCAGCCATCCATCACCCGCAGCACATCAGCAGGAATGATGTGGGCCAACACATCTGGAGGCCACAGGATTTGGGAAGGCAGGCTAAGGCTGAAAAAGATGGACTCAGATTGAAGCTTGTCTGGAAATCAAGCTTGGAAGCTTTTCCTTCTCATGCCAAGATATGAGTGAGTAGGCTGTGTAGGTGCTGTGACATTTGTCTTCATTGTTATTCTATAGGGCTCAAGGCTGAGCAAGCTTCACATTCAAAATGGTTTCCTAGCCCAAGTTAAGCTGCACATTGTGGCAGGCCTGAATGTCCAGCAGCTTTTACATGATGGAGGTTCTTGGACCCAAGCAACATTCGTTGGTGGGTGAGGTGGTAAAGGAGAAATGGTAGAAGCCATGAGGTGGGGTGCAGTGCAAGATTGGCAGGTTGGCAGTTAGAGGTGTGGGTGCTGCATAATGGGGAGAGCTCCTGGCACTAGTACCAGCCTCTGCCAACCTAGCAGTTCAAAAGCATGCAAATGCAAGGAAATAAATAGGTACCACTTTGGTGGTAAACAGTGTTCTGTGCAATCATGCTGGCAGAGATCACAGAGTAGTCTATGGCAACACTGGCTTTTTGGCTTAGTAATGGAGATGAGCACCAACCCCTACGGTCGGACACGACTTGACAACTTGTCAAGGGGGAATACCTTTGCCTTTATCTTTTTATGGAGTGGGGTCCTTTTCGCTTTCCCAAAGGAGATTCCACTATACAAGTCCCCAAATGCTCCAAACCACATGTGGTGTGTGACTGGCACTGGTACTGAAAATAAGCCCACACCAGTCAAGAGCCTGGTGCTTTTTTCTCCCCGCTGTTCATTTTGGCAGGAGGTGGTGCACATAGAGAATAGGGGTGCATGATTCCCATCCAGACCTTGATGGAAAGAACTCTCTCTTCCCCCTCTCCCTTTCTCTCTCGGCGTCTCAGATGGCTGCCCACATCTCGATCCACAGCTGCCACCCTGCAACCCTAAGCTTAATGAGCCTGCAGTAGGCACAGCACACAACCTCTCCACAACACACACACACACACACATACACCCCTCCCATTTCCCCCTAATCACTACCCTGAAATTCCAGGCTGCTGGCAGGCAGAGTAAAAATGACTTTATCTATTTAAAACAAAAACAACAAGAACAAAAAGGGCAGCCGCCTGCCAAGAGAAACTCGGAGCAGAGCAGAAGGCAGAGAGACTTGGGGAGCCTTAATGATGCTTTGCCAGAATTCCAGCCAGCAAGAGAAGGAGGCAGAGAGGAGAAGGAAGAAATATACAAACCTGAGAGATTGAGATTCACAACTCCGAAGCCTTGACCCAGCTAAGAACTCACATAGCTCAGAGGGTGCTAACCTCCCCACCATACACACATATAAAGCACACATACCATTTCCCAGAAAGGTGAATTGTATGTATTCTACTATGAGTCTGTTTGCAAGGATCTTTGGACTACGCAATAAGCCTCCTCCTCCTCTTTCTTCTTGACCATAAATCAGCCTCATGTATAAGTCAAGAGCAGGTTTTGGGGATAAAATTAGGGATTTTGATATGACCTGTGGATAAGTCAAAGGTAAAACTTAGGGACATGCAACTAAAGATCTAAAGGATGAAGGAAAGGAAAACAATGCCAAATTTACAAAATTCCAGCAGGCATAACTGTCTGTGCTCACACTAAAGGTTGGATGGATGAGAGAGTAGAGGGTCAGCGCTTCCAGAACAGATTATATTCTTACCTTTCACCAGGGGATGTTTATACACACACACACACACATTATATATATATTAAAGTACAGTATTTACATTGACCCGTGGATAAGTCAGGGTTTTTTTGGATCAGCTTCTTGACTAAAATGTCTAGACTTATACATGAGTATATACACAAATTTGGAAAGACCAACCTGTAAGAGGCAATTCTACAAAGAGGCAGATTACCTTGGATCACAGATGAATGGTCACTGAAAAAAGGTGACATTGTGGTAGACTACATATCTCTGGTTGGGAGGAAAGGTGGATAATTTTGTTGGGCTACAACTCCCAGAATTTCCCTAACCACACCAGCTGGCAAACTGTGGGATTTGTAGTCCAACAAAATGATTCCTCCTGCCCTTTCTAACTCTGTCAGTACGGTGTTGGACTGGGACTCTGGAAGACCAGAGTTAGAATCTCTGCTCAGCCACGGAAACCTATTGGGTGACATTGAGCAAGTCACACTCTCTCAGTCTCTGAAGAAGGCAATGGCAAATCTCTTGTGAAGAAAGGTTAAGAGGTGACATAATAGCCATGTTTAAATATTTGAAAGCATGTCATACTGAAAAAGGAGCAAGCTTGTTTTCTGCTCTTCCAGAGACTAGGACATGGAGTGGATTCAAACTAAAGAAAAAGAGATTCCACCTGAACATCAGAATTTCTTGATGGTAAGAACTGTTTGATAGTGGAATATGCTGCCTGGAAGTGTGGTGGAGTCTCCTTCTTTCGAAGTTTTTTTTTAATCAATTATATTGCTTTGATTGTATATTCCTGCATGGCAAGGGGTTGGACTGGATGACCTTTGTGGTCTTTTCCAACTCTATGCTTCTGAATCTTGTCACAACCTCTGCCCCATAGGTTTGCTTTAGAGTCTCCATAAGTCAAAAACAACTTGAAGGCAGGCAACAACTAACTAAATTTAAGGCTCACTGAAACAGGGAGGGAAAGGGAAATACTGTGACCGTGCGTAGCTTGTATTTCTTATTTCTCCACATAAATGGTGGGAAAGCTCTCAGGAGGCTGCTTTCAGGCCCTTTGAAGTCTAGAAAATACACTAGTGATCAGCGATGGAGGTTATTCAGGGGGAGTCTTGAGAAAGAGAAGAAAAAGACAGCTTTTGAGTTAGGAATTCATTAGGAAGGAAGGAAACTCCAGGCCAAGAGTTAGTCCTTTGCAGGGAGCCTCCTAAATGGATCCATATGCAGCAGGAAGATTAAACCAGCTTAAGCCTAAAAATAAAGGGATGTTGATATTACTGTGGCAATCATGCAGGGAAACCATTTCTTTTTAACTCACGCAATCCCACACAGTTGTACTGTGTGGTTTTTGAAAGCCGTGGGAGACTATGTTTGGAGGTCATACACTTGGGCTTTAAAGAAGCAAC